CCCCTGGAGAAGCGCTGCAACACCCGGGCGACCCTCCCTTCCCCTCACGACCCACCAGCCACCAAGCCCTGTTGCTCCTGCACCGCCGCCGCCAGGGCTCCCCTCCTCTCTGCGCTCCCAATGCCCCACTCTGCCTCATCGCTCTTCACTCACACCTTTCCAGAGTCTCCGAGCCGGTCTCTGGTCGCCAGGCTCACACACCTCTCGACCACAGCCCGCGGGCCCCCAGAACGCGCGTCCCCAAACACCCACCCGACCGCTTCCAGCCCTGGTGTGAGTCTCTGCGAGGCTCCCCCCCGGCCCACCGAAATCCCAGTCCTGCCTCCTCGGACGCTGTATGAGCGAGCCCCTCCCTGATCTCCCTGAGCTCTCGCGTTTTTTCTGCCAGACCAGGTGCCCTCAGTTCCAGGAACACTAATCCACCTGCACGTAATGAGTTGCCTTAGATGCAGCCCAAGTGTGAGCTCCGAGAGAAGCCTTCCGTGGCGCCATGACCGCAGACAGCCCTCCAGCCACATCCGTCACACGTCGCTGCCGCTGTCCACACATCTTTCTCCCGGAGACAGGAGTGGTGTCGACTCTCCCAGCGTCCTTGGTGATGCCAGATGAGTGCCTGGCACCAGCGCCCTGCAGGTGTTTACTGAACGGATAGTAAAACCACCTGCTTCTTTCAAATGGGCTCCATTTGATTTGGTAAGTGAGCCACTGAAACTTTTCAGTAGAAGGCAGGATATAAAAACACTTGGTAAATAGTAGTTAAGTGATATTTAGTTGTAAAACAAGAGAAACCAAATTGCTTGGAAGCAGGTGAACCAGACAGTAAGCTTGGAAGCTTAGCCAACTGCTTCACAATTCATTGCCTGGTCCTCTTATTTCATTTCGTGTGTGTGTGGGTTTTTTAATTAATTAATTAATTAATTTTGGACTGCGTTGGGTCTTCATTGCTGCGCGCGGGCTTTCTCTAGTTGCGGTGAGCGGGGGCTACTCTTCGTTGTGGTGCCGGCTTCTCATTGCGGTGGCTTCTCTTGTTGCGGAGCACGGGCTCTAGGTGCACGGGCTTCCGTAGTTGTGGTGTATGGGCTCAGTAGTTGTGGCTCGCGGGCTCTAGAGCGCAGGCTCAGTAGTTGTGGTGCACGGGCTTAGCTGCTCCGCGGCATGTGGGATCCTCTGGGACCAGGGATCGAACCAATGTCCCCTGCATTAGCATGCGGATTCTTTTTTTTTTCTTTTAACATCTTTATTGGAGTATAATTGCTTTACAATTGTGTGTTAGTTTCTGCTTTATAACAAAGTGAATCAGCTATACATATACATATATCCCCATATCCCCTCCCTCTTGCGTCTTCCTCCCACCCCTCTAGGTGGTCACAAAGCACCGAGCTGATCTCCCTGTTCTATGCGGCTGCTTCCCACCACTGTGCTACCAGGGAAGTCCCTCCTGTGTTTTAATTTATAGTCCCACTAATATCT